GCAAAACTTATAACTTAAAATTATGACGTATAACTTAACTTATAATTATAAATATACGTCGCCTTCTGGCGTTTCTATGACTTAAAACTTATAAAATAAGTTATACGTAATAAGTTATAAGTTATACGTCCATGGCTGCCCCGTGTATCTATTATTTAAATTTATGATCCAGAAAGATATATATGAAATATATGCATTTATTCGAGTTAATCTTATTTAGAAAATTGCAAAGGTTGTATAACCCAAATTATAATTTAGTCGATCATGCTAGCTTAAATTTATTTAAAGGTAAATATGTATCTGTACTCTTCGAAAATGGCGTAACCTGTGTGTTATGTATTTGAATTTGCATAGCCTCTGCAACAATAACCCCAGTAAAATTTGAGCTTGAATACCATAAAAATAAATTAGGATAGGTATTCCATCTAGTTCGGGCCATATCATTAATCTTATCGCCGTCATGAATATTTTATCATAAAGATTTCGGCCATCGTCTCAAGCTAAGTTTATGCATTCTTCTCGTAAATGTAGCTTATCTAAATAATTTAATTTTGTCAAGACCCCGCCATGTTCATATCCTATTCTACCATTTATTTCATTTTATACTTTTCTAGAAACTTTCTCTGAAACTGTATTCATTCACGTCACGAAGACAGCTTGAGTGAACCTGCATGATTACATATATACTTATTATTTAACCACCACTACGTTTCCAGTAATTTTTAAAATGTGGCAAGTTTTTAAAACCTTCGTAGACCAGTATCGAAATCGAAATCCAATCCCATTCCGGGTGTTGGTTCGGCGACAAGAAGTGTTTCATGTCCCATTGTCCAAGAAGGAAACCACCTTCGTCCATTTTTCATTCGCAGTATTTGTTCTTCACATAATTTACTGCTTTCTGCGCTTGTTGTGGTTGTGGAAAAATGGATTTCCGTTTGAAAATGAGGAACAAGATTCAGAAATTATTAGAATTTATGCCCTTCTAGTCTTAACATTTCTCTCTCTTACTTTCGCATCTAAATATGGCGTTCGTTATTGACTATAGATGTGTTGTTTTTATAAATATCATGAATCCGATTAAAGACCTGAAGAAATTTGCATATGGTAATATTTTAAAAAAATATATTTTTTTAGTTCTGTATTAACAAGCTGTTTTTTAGCTAGAAGAATTATAAATAATAATTTCTAACAATTAAATTCCGAAGATACTTTTAGTTTTCAGGTTTATAGATTTTTTATTGACGAACAATAGTAAAATGTTTCACGAACTTGTTAGCAAGCGGTTCTTAATTTTTTGCACTTGGAATAGGCGTAAGCCAGAGGGTCACGCCTCTATTATATTTTACTTGTATGGACTAGCGACTTGTAGGGCGATTATTGCGTGAATTTGTTTCGCTCGTGCAAGAAATTATACTTGCAAAAAAAAAACAATTTCTTGTAGGTAATTTTTCGCGAAAAGTGTTGCAAATATATGTTCTTCATTTCTTTCCAGATATCCGCGCAAGTTCCTCCATTGCGGTTCCTCCGGACTACAGAATTTTGATACGAGCTATGAAAGTGGTTATTTGGCTGACAAATTATCCCTTGCACATGATACTTATAGCAGGCGTAGTGATCAGCGCCGACCCCCTTTACCCGCCAATAAGGAGCATAATTTGCATCTTATCTTTATCATCTATCGTGTTCAAGTTGGCTGCATTTCTCATTCGAGCGAGTTTGCTAACAATTTGTTTAATTGTCTTGTTCAAAGCAGTCAATGCTTTTTTTATCATTGGTCTGATGGTGGTATGCTCGGCCAGCGAAGTGCTCCAAGTTCTGAACGATTTAAACCCTAAGAGAGTAGTTTTCAGCGAGAGAAATTTTCAAGCTCGTGAAATTAAACTGTATCGACAATTATTGATCTGGATAGGATTCACGAATAGAATTTTTGTTATTTTGCCGTCCCACCGTTAATATTCTTTGGAGTTTCTTTTCTAATATTAGGAATTTACGGGACAATACGGATGCGAGATCATATGAACTTTCTGATTTATTTGTTCGTGCCCCCTTCGAGTTTAATTGCTCTCTTGTTTGTTGTATTTTTGATCCCTGAGGCAGCCAAGGTGTATCAAAGGTCATACTTGTATTTATATAAGGCGGGAAAGGACTTGAGGAGGGGATCGTGGGAAAAGAAGGTCGTCAAGTCCTTGAGGCCAGTTGGTATTCAGATTGGACCGTTTGGACAAGTTAAAAGATGTCCACTAACGTCGCGGACTGATGTAATCAAGAGCTCAGAACTTTATACACAGTTAATGTAATTTCAAAAAAATTGCATATGTTTACTGCCAAAGTGTTTGGATTGCCACACAGTTAAAATTTTAATGATTCAATTCCGCTATCTGCTACAGATTGTATTTTCTTCTTCAGATTTCGCATCAAATTCTGCGCAGAGACTGCACCTACTTTCGAGCTCTTTTTCTTCCATCTATTCTTAAATTTTCGTAAGGTATCTGGCGTTTCTGAAAGCTTAGAATATTTGGATTTAGTCAGCGCCCAGAATTTCTCAATTGGTCGCAGTTGAGGAAAATTTGGTGGGTTTCCATTTTTTGGCACAAATTCAATTTTTTTCAGATGTCGGTACTCGGTGACCTTTTTGGCGTCATGGGAAGTTGAGAGGTCAGGCCAAAGCAAAACTTTATTTTTTTATGATCCTTACTAATAAACGATTTCAATCCCCCTTTAATGCAGGATTTAAAATAAACCTCCTGGTTTACAGTACCCTCCAAAATGACGGGATCGGAAACATGACCAATGCTAGACATGCGTTGCCAAATTCTTCATTTTTTTGGGAATTGGTATTTCTTTTGGACTTTGTCTCCATATTTCACTTCACAGGGGTTGGAACTATGGAAAAAATGCGTTCCTGGAAGATTTGAAGGGTCGGCTGTGACGTGGGGCTCATTGTCCATGATGACCACGTTTCCCCGAATCTTCTTCAACAATTTCTTCCAGCACGCATGAATCCTTTCCTGTTTCGTTGGTTTGTAATTCGGTGCTGATTTTTTTGCCCTTGGTGTAATCCCTAGTTTATGGACTTCGATTTTGCTCAGATAGCTTTTTGAAATCTTGACCTTACTTTTCGCTGCAGCCATTGTCGTTATTACGGTCGCGGACCTAATCAAGTTTCCTCAATTATGTCGCGGTCACGTCGCGTACCGTATTTTACCATTTTTATGACTTCCGAGTGAGTTTAAAAACGTGGAAAGGAAAATGTAGAAACTAGTCATCAATTTCACACAGGAAAAATCTATTTATTTTTAGCAATTTTCAGAAATTAAAATGACAAATTAAAAACTACTTTTTTACTGCCTTTCACACTACTTCTCTTCTCGAGTCTCTCTTACACACTTGCTTGCTTCTGGAATATTCTGGCAAAAAAGCTGATGCAATTTCCAGCAGCGGATCACTTAAAATAACGGGGAAAAGTGATACATATTTTACATTTTCATACAATTACCAAATACATACATACATACAATCGTTTCATTTATCAATTTATAACACACATATAATAATTATAATTCATTTCTCGACAGTCGTTAATGGATAATTTTTGAAGATTTTATTTATGCGATTTTTGACTTTTGTCGTCGCTAGCTTTGCAGGTCGACCAGTGGGGACTTTGAATTTGAGTTCATTGGATTCCTCGTACTTTTTTATGTAAAAGTTGACATTTGAATGAGGTATACCTTCTTGCTAGAAAAATTGCCAAGTGATTTTAGAATCATTATTTGTTCGATTTTTGTGAAACTCAATCACTCTTTTTTTCAACTCTTACCTTTCAACCCAAGTTTTTCTAGTTTTAGCCATGACTCAATAATTGGTGACATATATCAACGGAAAGCTTATAACTTGGTCTATTCAAAAATAATTTTTTCGAAATTTAATTTCGCTGTGTTCCCGCCCAGCGCGCCTTTGACGGGGCAGTCCGCGACGTTAGTGGACCTCTTTTAGACATAATTTGATGACGATTGTGATAAGTGTTTTGACCGAGAACACGTGCAACTTGTTAATCACGTTCTGAAAGATGTTAAATATTTACATACTTGTTTGTTTAGGCTGGAACAATTGCATGTGCTTACAGAAGTGTGTGATTGTAAATTGCTATATGTATACATACCATCTACATATGTTCGATTAAATATGTAAAAACTAAAAATGAAATATTAAATTTAAAAAAAATTGATATTTTGTGTCAAGATTTCACATTAAAGTCAGAGCATTAGAAATGGCAAAAAGGCAGCTTTTTTGCACAAATATATAAACAAACATATGTATATGTACATATATGAATACTAATATTATGCCTATTTACATATTATGTTATATTTACAATATAAATTAACAAATGTAATATAATTATTTGTTGCTCTACCACTCTCTCTAACACCGACACCGTTCATCCGTTCATAATTATGAGATATGTCGAGTCCATAAGTTTGCAGTAATGTTTTTAAATCTCATGAAGATGAGACCATTTCACGAATCACACAACGATCTCATGAATCCAGTGAAACGTTCTATATAAATATTAACGCAATCAAATTTACGAGCTATCAGATTTCCTTGAAAATGAAACCTGGGTTCTTGAACACCATACATACATACATGCTTTATTCGTGTTGCATCCTTTTCAGACAAAGGGGAATACCTATGACATCATCATTCACCGTAAGTATGTATGCATGTACATATGCTAATGTATGTACATAGTTGTCTAGTTCAGTGCATATGTGTCACCATGAAAACCCATCACCATCACATAACAGTGCAAATTACTTATTTCATATACACGCAGAGATTGAGCAACGACATATCGTTTATGAACATGCATTTCGCATATCTTCTTCGTCGTCTAGGGGACTGTGCATAAAGATGTGATGAATCTGAAGGGTCAAGACTCCCGTGCGGATTGTATACAGCATGTGGATGTAGATTACATTACCACAAGGGCGTGAGGATTAAAACTATGTGCAAATGGATAACATCCTTACTGAATGGTCTCTTAATGACGGGACACTCGAAGATTCATGTCCATGCAGTTTTATTTCGTCGGTAGACCAATATTCCAAGAAAAAACCTGGTAAAACATTCCATCGTTTTGTATTTAACATCTAAATACTTCCTCAGGTTTGATTCAGTTGTATGTAGCTCGGTTGTATGTGAAGTATAGTGTACGCATCCTTCATAATTTGCACGTTTTCCTACTCGTTGCCATGGTAATTTGGTCATAAGTTTTTACACTATTTTACAGTTTATATTACATTTACTTATTTGAAATTTGAAAAAGTGTGTATTTTGTTTTGTTTTATTTTTTGAACTTAATTAAGGCCAGTCCTGCCACTACTATCAATATAATTGATAAAGTGCGAACCCGTCCAGCACTGGGGAGGAAGTGCAAGCTTGTCTCAAATGAAGGTCCGCCTAATAAAATACGTGTCACAAAGGGTCAACCAGATCGGTCAGGGTCAGACCTAAAATGTCAGAAATGGATATCTTCTGCCCCATGTGAAACTTCTGAAAAAGTGGAATCAGGGTTAGGTTCTAATTCTACAAGGAGTATTTTTTCTGAAAGATTTCTGGCCGAAATTAAAGCCAAAGGGGTAAGAAATTATTACAGAAAAGGCTTAACGTGAAGGTGTTTAAACCTTGTAAACTTTACAAATTTTGTTGATTAAACAAATCTTTTGAGGCAAAATTCACCTGCATATTTATGTATGTACATAAATCAATCCAGCCTCGTAATTTTGTAAACTGTGGACAATAACGCGACAAAAAATTACTTTATTACGAAAATTTTGAGCATATCATACATACGTTATATTGGAATTAATTTAATAAGTATTTAATTTAATTTAATTTCAGGGCGAAAACTCAACAGAATTTTCAATGCCAAATTTAACGGATTTCTCGCATTTGCATAAAGTTGACGAGCTACGCACCACTTTTGTAAAATCTGCACAAACAAAATTTACCAACTCGCAGGTTCGTTTCAAAACTATGCGCGATTATATTTTTCATTTTGAAACAAAATTTGCAAACTCAAATTTATTTACAGCTTGTTCAAGCTCGCGATGAGTTGGTGCATCTGAAGGCGTCACGACCCCAAAAGTGGACTCGATGGATGCTTGCAGCCCCAAGTGCGACGCTTATTATTCAAGATTTGTTCGGTGTTTGAGATTTGTATGTAATTATGACCATGTGCAATTTTACTTCTTGCATCTCCAATTAAAAAACTTACTCTATTTATGCAAACATTTTAACAGCCATTTTACCACCGTTTAGAAAATAAAACTTTGTAAGTTGATTTGTACTCTCTTAACTTTGTTAACAGATATGTATAAATTTTTAACTTTGTAAGTTAACAGATTTTGTACATAATCTAATTTCTTAAATAATATTTAACTAAATATATGTGGTCCGTGGGTATTTTTTTAATTCCTGCCTTTGAAAGACAAAAAGCCCCAAATTGTTTTTTTGACGTGGGTTTGGAAACTTTTAAAAGGATCGTGGGCGGAATTCATGCTACATTTTAAGGTAGGGAATTTTTGATGTGACTAAAGGCAATTGCCAAGAAGATGCAAGGAGCAAATTTCACGCATTGGAACAAATTAGGAACATCACATTCACGACGACGGTATATGGTAATCTCGAGTTATCGAAGTCCATATGACGCTGAGACGGTCTCCGTGACATATTATGTAATTATCTGATTTGTGATCAAATCCGAAATGCGGACAAAATAAAATAAAACATTATATTAAAAATTAATCTGGATAACAGTGAAACCTTATCCAAATCCAAAGACTTTCAGAAATTTGAACGAACATTTTCCTTGCATATATGGAGGGAGATCTATGGATGCAATGCACAATTGCATATTGTGCGTAATATGCAGATCTATGTATGCATGCAATATATTTACGTACATAGATGAAATACTGTGGATTTTATAAGAGAGATGGATAAATCGATGAGGTTGACCTTGGCCAACTCAAGTTGAATAAACCTCATATCATAAAACAAAACCAGATGTGTCTTTCTTTAGTTTAAATATTTTGTACAAAACGTTTCTCACTTAAATTGTTGAATTAATCCTAAGTCGTCGACGAAAGTCAGTTGACACAAAATTCGACGAGGGATAACATCATCATATTAAAATGGCACACTATCTAATTCCTAGGAATCAATTATCCTTTAATAAAAATCACGATTTTCTCGGGGGTGGTGCTTTTGGGAATGTTTACAAAGGTATGTAAATAATAAAATCAGTATTAAAGTATCAATGTTAAATATTATTTTGATTATGCTTGTGTAGCAATTTGGAATGGTAGCGGTGTCGCCGTAAAAATTTTGAACGACGACGACAACCCAATGGGCGACAAAGTTTGGGCGGAAGTAAATAAAATGCAGCGACTTGACCACCCAAACATTTTGAAACTTGTTGGAATTGTACCGCCAGGTATGGAGTTAATTAAATTTCAATTTATTTAACTTACTGATTGTGACGTTAATTAAATTGCGATTTAATTGGTTTAACGAATCATGAAGTAGATATGCAATATGTAAAATGATGAATATGCAAAACATGGAGAAATTCAGTTTTTTGCGAAAATCTGCAAAATTTCCAAAAAATTCGAGTATTTTCGTTTCATTTGAATCTCAGCAAAATTTAAACTTGTAACGTACAAAAGAGTTTCAAAAATGACAAAATTTATTATTTCAAAACAATTTTCAGAAATTAACCAGAGAAATAGATAAAATAACAAGAATTTTTCGAAACTACCTGCTGTATTGATTTTTGCAAGTATCGAAAAATTATGAAAATTTGTATTGCCAATTTTCCCATAATTCAATGAAACAACTTTAATTTTTTACCCTGACCTATGTACGCATTAGCTCTCTAACAATAATCAAATTTATTCATTCTTAGTTAAATACGGCAACCCTTGGATTATAACCGAATTACTGGAAACCGATCTCTTACAGCACATTCACAATTATCCTGGACACGCCTTAACTGTGGTAAATTATTTTAAATTATTTTTACTCATTAACTATTTAAATTAAAAGTGTACAATTCTTTATTTTAGCGAGTCATGGTGGGCTGGGCCTACGACGTGGTGTGTGGCATGGAATACATGCATCACATAGCCAGTCCTTTCGCCATTCATGGAGATTTGGCTGCGAGGTACAACTTTAAAAAAATAAAAAAAATTTTCATTTTTTCAAAAAGAAATCTTTAGGAATTGTCTTGTTGGAGCTAATGGCCGAGTGAAAATCAGCGATTTCGGGAAACTCTACCAAGACTATGAAAGCGATTATTATAGTGCCAACAACTACTGTCAACATGACCAAGACGATAATGTAAATGCCTATTAACTAACTACCATATTTATTTAGTAAATTAACAATTCATTGTTTAGCAGTGTGAGTGTCTCCCCTGTCCGATAAGGTGGATGCCGCCGGAAAATCTGCCAGAAAGCAATGACGGCGTCCCGACTTGTTCGAGAAAAGGAGATATTTGGGCTTATGGTGTCCTGCTCTTTGAAATTTGGACGAGGGGCTCAACCCCCTTTGACGGTCTGGATGATGATGAGGTGATTAAAATTAGATTTTTTTTTAATTTTCAAAAATTTACAATTTATGTAATTGTTGTCCAATAGGTTATCCAAGCCTTATTGAGCAGAGATACTCCTGCCGATCACTTTGACGTTAAAGCAAAATCCTACGTTAAAAATATAATGGAAAATTGCTGGCTGTGGGAGGCCGAGCTACGCTGGAATTTCAAGATGATTAAAGAAGTGTTAGTGGATAGTGGGGATTTTAACTAATCCAATTTTAACTAATGGTTAGCAATTAAATTTTACTTTTGCTAATAAAGTTATATTTTTTATGTACACAAATTCTCTATTTATAGTAAAATTCATATCTACAGGAATATTTATGTAGCGTATTTAAACAAAATCTGCATAATGTTTGAGCAAGATAAATACATATGTACAATGTGCGATCCACTCAATATGTAAGTACATACATATAGAAATGAATCATAGAGGGTGCTTTAGAATTAACGCAACTTTCTTCATTTGCATATAAAAAAATAAAGTACAGTATTTATGTAAACGATATTCTGTAGAAAGACAAGGGTTGAAAGAAGGGTCGAAGAAAGACAAGGGTTGAAACTAATTATTTTTTGCTTCAAATGGTTGATGTACCTACTTCCGTCCAATCTGTAGAAGCCTTTGTCAGACGCCCCAAAAAGTGCTTCGCCACTGTTTTGAGCTACCTTTTTTGCTTTTATTGACCACACTTTATGAAATAAGTTCAAATTTTTGGCCAAAGGTTTTCGACTATGATATACTTTGCTGGATAAAGACAAAAATTCTTCGATAGGTCTTGTTTGGAGCAAATTTGGGAACGTTGTTCACCTCTCCCATGTTAATTGCATTTGATTCATTTTCAGGCGGAGCGGGATAATTTTGCCTAGATTTATTTTCAAGTTTTGCTTATGTAGTTTTCTTGAAGCTGGGAGAGTTGTGCCATGTGGAAATAAAATTATTTTGATGATCTTGGCTGTAAATCGTGTTGTACGGGACGACCAATTTTGATGACTTCAGGTCGAGTCGTTTTTCCGTCAACTGGTTTGTTGCTTTTATTTCACTCTTCACTGTATTTGTAAGCGTATAAAAACTTATAGGATTTAATGGACAACTTCTAAGCTTTAAAATAATGTATTATGTTAGTTGATAACTTCAGGTACGGAATCGAATTATGCTCCGACCGTGCAGATTTCTATTTTTACGAATCTTGTCACTTTGGGTGCTGCCACACTAATGGGTCGACCAGATATTTTTATGCGATTAGCAGTTTTTTGTAGCTAATACCTCAGTAGTATATGACAAATTTTCGATTTTGGAATTAGTAAATTTTTAAGTTAATTACAGCTCAATTTCTTGGAGTTAACCAAGGAACTTGGATTAACCAATTTTTCGTAGCAGTGGCATACACCTTTTTCTAGTTGCTCAGTGGTTTATGACCTCATTTTGGAACGGTAAAAGATATCGACTTCCGGTTTTCGGATTTTAGACCATAGATGTATGTGTTACATGACTACGGTCATTTCGAATTTGGGGTAAACTGATATCATTAGATAAACGTACATGAAAAAAGTTGCGTTAATTCTAAAGCACCCTCTACTCCGTTTCATGCAACTGCAACAGGTCTTTATCGCATCTGTTGCATGCAATCTGCCATGCAGAGTAATCTACCTGACCGCGGAAGCTGTGGGACAATCTGAGGACATTAACATTTTAGGATAAGAGAGAGGGTGGGGCATATACCAAATGATGGGGATAACCTTGGGGACATGGTCCCCATGCATCCGCAGCTACTAAATCTACGTATGTACATACATAGGTAGATCAAAATCTCCTGATTTTTTATGGGCATATGTACATATATACATACCATATACATATATGTATGTACATATGTACAATGACTCATCCTCCGGCATTGCACTTGGTCTGCATTCCTCATTTTTTTATCAGCTGGAGTGGATCGCTGCTCTTTCTTTAGCAGTATTTAAATTAGTATTAATTATTTAAAAGTTAAATACTATAATAATTATTTATAACAAGATAAATTCACACCTATTAAAATCATGGAACAGAACGCAGAAATAGTTTCCCTAGAGCAATTAGTCCTCTGCAATGGATTGGTATGTAAACTCCTCAAAAATAATTATTCCCTAAAGATAATTAATAAAATGTACCCCTATTTATTCACAGATCCTCCCAAAAATTTTGACACACCTCCCCTTCCGCCAGTATTTGGCGACTCGTCTTGTCTCCACTGTTTGGGATGACGCCGTCCGCCGAACAATCGCCTCCCGTGCCAGGATTGACCTCAGTCTCTGCTCCATCGTTAAGAAAGCTGATGACAAGAAGAAGACCGAAATTGAGGAGAAGCTCGACTCCATCGAGTATCTGAAGATAACCGAGTTGCAGATAGGAATCGACGACAATTTGCATCCCACCATCGTCCAAGCTTTTGAGGAAATTGGCTCCTGTCTTACAAAGCTAACGGTGAAAATTAACCTGGAAAAGGGTCCTGATTTCGCCGACTTTTTCACCCTGTTGACCAGCTCGCCAAATCTTAAAGAGTTAATTTGGTGGGGTGCAATTGATGAGAACCATTGTCACAATTATACCAAGGTATTTCCCTCAGTGGAGAAATTGAGCTTAGGATTTTATCGGGGAGAGATGCTAAATATGGGGAAGGCGTAAGTATAGTACACTCTAAATAATTTGAGACAAATTGTCACCTGCGGAGGTATAGTGCTATTTTTGGGGTATTGATTAAGAAGAAGTTTTGTTACCTGCGGAGGAAATATAAGTCAGAAACTCATGTATCGAACAGATTCACTGTCGTTATTTTAAAAATGAATATTTTATTAAGGAAGGTCCATAAAGTATGTCACGCGAAAGTCCTGATTTTTCGGACTCCATTTTAACGTGTGGCGTAAATCGGCCTGTCATGCAAAATTTTTATTCTCCCACCTCACTCAGCCGTGGCATATTTATGCACATCCCTTGTCTGAATATAAGATTTGTTTTAAATCAAAGTATACATTTTATAAATAACGACGTCACGTCTGCATGGTGCAAGATGCACGAGTTTTTTTTACTTATTTTCCACTGGTGACGATTTGTTTCCAAATTATTTAGAGAAATTATAAACAAAATCTCGAAAAATAGAATTGAGTTATTGAGTTTTTGTAAATTTTTAGAGCTGTCCTTTGGGTCACCTCAATTTTTCCGAACGTTTCCACATTCTCCTGCCTACCCCACCACCGCGAGGGAGTGATGCGGCATCTCCTCGGAGTCTGGGGCGACGGTCGATCCGCCTTCCCCCTCCTGACAGAGCTTACCATTCACCTCATGATAACCGATGAGGAGAGGCTGGCTCCACTACAAAATATCCCAGACGGGCTAAAACTAAAAGTATTAAATCTGTCCATCGACGGTAAACGGGAGACGGGAAGCGTTCAAGTGTTCCAAGACGAGGATGCCGCAATCTTGACTAGCATGCTGCAAAAACATTCAGCCACGTTGGAAAAAGTTGTCTTAAACTTCGTTAATTTATGGAAGCCAAAGCCGGACGTCATTCTAGTTCCTATTCCAGGGATTAAAAGTCTAAAGTACTTAACAGTCACGTCAGATTTTTTGGGAGATATTTGTAAGTTAAAACTATTGAGGGTATTCATTATTCCTTCGTATCCTTAGTATTCTTCGTATCGCAAAATAAGTTACGAAGGTTACGAGATTTTGTAAGCGTGGTGAGATTTTGTCAGCAGAAATCGCGTTACTGAGGTTACGAATTTTACGAAGCTGGACCCCTTGTTTTTTTCGTAAATTATTTTGCGATATTAAGGATACGAAGGAATAATGAATACCTGATTTGTTATTCTTAGCTTTAGTTTGATAACTAATGATAACAGATGTAAATTGTGTTTTATAATTAATTGCAGCAATCGACATCAAACCACAACCTGGTGCTGTTTTCCCAAAACTTTTGAAATTGAACCTGCCATACCTTTGGGGTGATGCACTTAGCAGATTTCTCACACCATGCGAGGAATGGGATGCCACACAATTGAAATGCGTGGATTTAAACATCAGAGACAAGCAATGCAACATCTGGATAAAGAGACAGGGTCAAAAGTGGGCTGAAAATCTTGGAGAGATTTTCAGGAAAAACTTCCCAACTGCAGAACTAACCGATTGGAATCTTCTATGTAAGAAATAATTGATCATTAAAAGCACAAAAGGAGTGCAAAAACGTGTTGCTAAATATTTACGTGCATTTTAAGATACATGAATTTGTATGTATATGCATAATATGTATTGCATAATTATGATTAAAAACGAAAAATGCAATTTAAAATTAAATGTAAGACCTTCAACAGATTTTGTACATATATACATATAGATGTATACATACATGAATGTATGTACATAATCAAATTTCTTACATCACCTTATCATGAAACTTAAATTCATTCAACAAACTTAAGCTGCATTACTTCACTTTTAGCTTTCTTGGTCTTATGCAACATCTGCATAAATGCACTAGGTACAATATGTATGTACATTGTACATAATATATCTGTAAGTATATTAGGATAAGGTTATTGCAAGATAAGGTGGATAAGGTAGCTGCCAGGGTTACGTACCTATGTAGGAGGTACAAATTTAATTTATTAAACAACAATAAGTATTAATCCAAATTTTTGTCCAATATGTGAGCTATTCATATAGCCCAAATTTCTGTGATAAAGTTTACATACATAAATATGTAAGTCTAACTATACATAAATCTATATGCAAAAATAATGCACTCCTCAGCAAGAAAATCCGATCAATAAAATCTATCCCGTTCTGCACGGATGAATTTCCTTCCCATAATTGTTACAGATCTCATTTCATAAGTTTTTCCCTCAATTGCTCAGGGACCCAACATGAAGAATGTAATCAATTTGTGGGGTTCCTTTTTCAGGATTTTGACATATCGTTCACACGCCACCTATTTTATGGGACATAGTCCGTTTGTGGGGGGTCAAAATTAAAAACACGAAAATCCTTCAAGCATGGTCCCTCATTCTGACAGATCATGTAAAGCAAAGAAATGTGGCATTTCTGCACACTAGACACTACCATAAAATCAAGACCGTGAAATATTTATTACACGAAATACGGTGAAACCAATGATCAAAATCACTTCATCCTAGCATGTCGTCGAAATCCTATCCCATCCAAAAATTCCCGATAATAATCATGTCACTCTTCGTAACCCAAATATTCCACCAGCTCGTAAAATCAATAACTCTCCTCAGACTTACCCTCGTGTTAATTATCACTATAATTGTTCTCATTTCTATTAAAGTATTTTCCAACGAGGAGAATGACATCACAAATTTAATATTCCACCCAATCCCAGGACACGAATTAAGCCCTAGTGACCCCTTAATTTTGCAATATTTGCGAGACCATCACCTCACCGCGCCCCCGCATAACCGCACCTACTTTGACCCTAAAACGCTACATCCCCTAAATTACCACGTGCTACGCGCGATGCAAATTTTATTCGGGGGAAAGGTTCTTCCAAAGGGGAAGTTCTTCTTGGAGTGTGGCGCAAACGATGGGCAATTTATTAGTAATACGATCAAGTTGGAGGTGAAGCATAATTGGACAGGCGTGTTGGTCGAGGGGTCGCCCAGTTTGGTGAAGAAGTTAAAAAATAAGGGAAGGAATGCTTGGGTGGCGGATATTTGCTTGGGAGGGAAACAACCAGAACAGGTATATGCAATTTACTGGTAACTTTGTAAAATCCCTAAATTCTGTAAACTATCAAACTTTTACCAACAAATTTTACAAAAACTCTTACATAAAAATTGACAACTCGAATGATATCACCTCATTAATTTCCTTAAAATTTCTTGAAAAATTCCTACTTTTAATTACAGATTGAATTCCTCATGCACAAAGATAAATTTCCAAACTGGAGGATTGGGAATGGGAAAATTAACCCAAGTGGGAAATACGACAGCCCATTGGATGCGGGGGTGATGAGATAGCCCGAATAACTAACTTAACTTAAAGCAACAATTAGACAATTACCGAAATATTGAGCAATTAATTATTATTTCGCAGGGATTTAAACGAGACTATTACAATTCTGACGGAATTGTGAACTGTTTCCCGTTGGAATCTCTTCTCCGTGCCGTGAATGTAGAACGCGTCGACTTTTTCAGTTTGGATGTCGAGGGTCACGAATACAAAATTTTGAAGGCATTCCCCTTCAACAAGTTTGATATTAAGGTGCGACAAAACCATTTATCGGATAAAATTTTCTTAACACAATTTTTGATAAAAAATTTCCTTCCTCATTTAAGATTATCCTGGTTGAACATTTCCTCGCCCCGGAAGGGAGCAAAGCAATAAAGTCATTACTTGAAGAAAACGGATATATTTTGCTGCACGATAGCGGAACGGACTACGTATTTTATAAAAGATAACTAATCATTACTTACTATTAGATTTGTGAATAAATAAACTGTGCATACCCAAAATTTAATTTAGGAGTTTTATATTTATAAACATGTGACGCATGCATGCGGGATCGTCTGTCTAAAGTGTGATCAATTTGCTTAAGTGGATGTATGGGTCAAGACATCTTGCCCCTCTCATCAAAATTTGAACTGGACCATGGGGTCAAAAGGGGGTCGAAATTCCTCGAAAATAATTCACATGCTTTAGCCTGGTGTCTCGTAATAATTGTGAAAAACTCTAAATAAAGTTGTGGAAAATTTACTCAAGGTTGAGAACATAAGAAAGAAAATGACAAGCTAATTGTACAAAAATTATGCAACGTTATGTAAAATTTGTCGGGCCTCATGCAAAATTTTGCACAGCGGTAAGTTTTACCGAATTGTGGTATCATCCTCTATTTTACTCGATCTTGAGTAAATTTTACACAACTTTATTTAGAGTGTACTATTCTATGAGCGAATGTTTACTTAAGTGCATGCATAATTGTCTGGAGAGCCGAGTTGTTAATAATGAGCTTAACGTCGATCAACTTGCTACCGTTTGTGATGGACAAAGACATTTGTAAATACACATTTGAAGCGAATCTTGAGTAGTATGCACTTTATTACTGGGATGGAGAGAGAAGACTCTTTAGTGCATGTTATTGTTTATCGAACCTACATACACATTATACCTCATCATGCGCTAATTAATTTCATTACGTACTATTTTGCTAGACTGTTTTTCTTCATTAACAAGTCTATTTATTTATTTAGTTTGCCAAATTTTTCCTTTACCTCAATAGGAGAATATGTAAGTATGTTGTGGTAAAAACAGGGTTCCAAACTTTTAATCATTCATATGCAAGTGCATAATTATAGTATTAACCAGGGCTGATGAAACCATCAGGTCTGTCTGTCCCTCTGTCGTAATTACGATAAACTCATGTACACGCTTTTGGACGTATGGCACGATCAAATTAAAAATTCGGATTTTGGGCGATTTTACACAAAACTTGCTAAATATATACTTACGAAAAATGCTTAAGAAGTCACAAAACAAAAAAAATTCCAACGACCTCAAGCCTTCCGTTATCTTGGATGTTTCCTAAATTCCTCGATATTAAAATGCGTAGTAAAAAAAACAGCAGTAAGAAACCTTAATAAAACTAATGAATCCAATACATTGTGCTAAGCAAACATCATTAGAGCACCTAAATTATACGTCATCCTTCCACTTTTCCTCAGTTTCTCGCCAATTTCACACATCCACTCTTTATCTCCGCTTCAGTACTTTCCTTAAAGGCCTTAAGATGATGTCTCTGTTTTTTAAAAAGCGGTTTGAAAATCTTGTCCTCATTCCGCTAAATATTTTGTATTACATGGTCCTCTACCCGTACAAGATCTCTAAACATCTTGACCACGAATCCATTCAAATCTCGGAAATTGCACCATGCAACTTTCATCACCTTGTAGAAAAGATATTCCATACGGTATGAAATTTACTTTACTACCGATTCAAAACTTTTCCCATTTTAAATACAGAAATTCAATAGATAGATTCTTCCAAAATTTGTATTTGCCCCTTTTTTGTCACGTTACAGGCTTGCTCCCATTTCTGTTTGCAATTTAAATTTTGTCACCAAAATTTCTATCCTATAAGAAATTTATTTGGTATTATTTTAAAACCATGGTTTTAAAATAATACCAAGCGGTATTCATATATTTATGACTATGCTAAAGTGGTATTGATAAGTTTAAGTTGCAATAGCTCGGTATTAAAGTTATACAATATCGGTAGGAAATTTTTAAGGTCTGGTATAATCATAATAACATGCGGTAGCAACTTTAGTACTGAGAAATCAATGCCTGTGTTACTAAATATGCTAGATTTTTACATAACGGTGTAAAAGTGAAAACTTCGCACGACTTAAATATCTTTACTGTTTCATAACTAATTGTATCCTAATTTAATCCAGCCGATCTGTGCGGGTACACACATCCTCGCACTGTTCGTCTACTGCAGCGAAGCTGTACAATCCCACGTGTCTCGAACGTCCAACAATCCACTTGACTATCTCCGTCTCTTGATGCAAAGCTGTACTTGCGTCCATCATTTCAACTTTGTTCATCTCATTTGGACCAGAAAATCCGAGTTTGTCCGCCTGATTAAACAATACGGGTCTAAATCCTGCCCAGGTCATGGTAAGAGGGCAGCCCCCGTCTGGCTGGCTACCCTAATTCCGTGCATCTTCCTCGGAATGGGACTCCTCGACGTGGTCGTCGTGCATGAAAAACCGGCGGGAAACGATACCCTGCAAAACGTCGTGATAGAATTGAGCAGTCCGTTCTTTAATCCGAAAGCGTGCGAATTAAGTCGTAACTTGGATACAGGTTATGCTAATGGTATGTAAATTTTTGATGCTTGGCGGTGGGTTTTGCATGATGCTTGTAACGTTTAAATTTTGTACAATTAAGTTGAAACATTTTAAAACTGGAAACTTTTTTCCGAGTAGTTTCGTCGGCTATGTAGCTAATTTATAATATTGGTATTCACACGGAAAAAATCTAGTAAATTTGCATATCAATTTACGATTAAGAAGTCTTGTCAATGTTTACTTGCAAAGTTTACACAGAAATTTTAAATACTTGCACAAATTTGCTTAAACTTGTAAAATTTTTATAATTCCACTTTCCCCCCAGATACCGAATTCCAATTCTACCTGAACTACGCCGTCTACATGATTCTGCTCTACGCCCGAATTATGCTGAGCTATTCGACCGACACGGTAATTTTCTGCCTCGTTCTTCTCCTCTACCTCGCAATTCGGTCGTATTACGAAATTCTGCTGGAAACTCGGATCACCAACGAGACCTCGTTCGCCTCCGCGTTGACGAAATATTTCGAGGCGTGCAAACTGATCGAGCTGATGAACGAGACGTTTGCCCGAGTCATGTTGACCTATGTGTTGGAAGCGTTCTCCTTCTATGCCGTGTACCTCAAGGAGATCGCCGTCTTTGATGGGCAGTGCGCCTACATGAAGGTCAAGATGACCCTGTCCTTCCTCCTGATCTGTTCAGTTTTCTACTTTTGTGCAGAAATTGTGGGAATGGTGAGTATTTTAGGTTCAAAATTTGACTGACTTTTTCGGGTAAAGTTCGAAAACTAAAGACGTTTTTGAAATTTACTTATCGTAGATGAATATGTACTTATGTGTAAAAATCCGTAACAGACTTATGATTAATGTTAACCCCAAATACGAAAAAACTTCATAAAATTTCGTAAAATCTATATGTACTGGTGGTATTCACGTCAACTTCATGAAAGCCATCGCAACATATCTTCGCAACTTTATCTTCGCAAGTTTTATAGTGATGCGAATACTAACAAATCCAGAGTGACCACATGCTTGTGCATATTTATTTATTTTCAACCGAAAAATGTCATTTTTCTGGACAGATGGACAAAGCAAAATTCATCCTGATCAATTCCAACCTGGCAAGAAATCCAGGTTCACACCTGGACCTGATTAGCATCAGGGTTCAATTGAGCACTCATTCTTACGGGTTGAGTGGAAACGGATTCTTCCTAATTAACTACTCCTTCGTGTCAGCGGTTAGTAAATTATGATTTTCAGAAGAGCATTTTTTCGTCCATATAAAAGATAATGAATTTTCTTTCAGGTGTGCAACACTTTATTAACATATTTCATAATCAGTGTACAATTTCAGTCAAAAGCGGTGTAACTTTTATCGAATAAATTTTATTCTACAGTAAACGCATGTTCTTATTCTCCATTTTAACAGAACTGTTATCAATGTGCTTATAAATACAGAGGCCACACAACTAACCGTATCATATCTCGAAAATTGTGCATAGCAACATAACTTGTGAAGTGTTGCGAATTTTACAAGATTTCGCAAAACTTGAGCTGCAAAACCATGGAATTTTTTTCGCAAGTTTATCCAGCAAGGGGCATGTTTTTATTTCGCAAAATTATTTCGCACTCATCCTCATCACCAGCGAGAGAAATGGAAACAACATCAAAATGGTTTGTTTAGAAGTAAATAGATTTGTGAAGTCATATTTTGCGAATCCCCCCACGACCCACGACACACATTTTTAGAGTTTTGCAAGTTTACTGAATGAGTTGTGGTGCGAAATACATAGGATGATATCCAGAGTACGCTCTCCACTCTCCGTCAGTCTACCTTCAAAAGCTTTGATAACCTCTAATCGACAAAGCATCCAACAACATGCTGAATGGCTCAAATTTTTAAGTCTAATTATAAATTTACCCGTATGTTATGTAGTTACTGGATAACTAATGCATCTTTTAACATAGGTACGTACGTATACTTATACACAGGTACATAATCTACATCTACTAGATTCCCTACATACGTAACTAGCCACGCATTTACTTATTTACTACCGCTTCATCAACAACATGGACACGGTTTGGTTAATGCAAAAGTCTTGCGTAATTAACGGCGTCCCTTTGTCGATGTAATTTGACCCAAATTTAACCATCAACGGCCTCAACGACTTCACTTCTCTCCGTTTCGCTTTGCCCCGGCTGAAACGTTGCTTCCAAATATCGATAGTTTGAACCGATTTGGTGTTCAGGATGGCGGCCACGGTTTCGTAGACGATCAGGGCCGATCCCGCCGTGATGAATCCTTCGGGGAAGAGGAGAAATCCAGGGAGGGGGACTTGATCGTGCAGCTTGATGATTACAAAGAGACTCAAAACCTCGACAAAGGGGACCCCCGACATGAACGCGGGCATGACGCGAATTCGAGCATAGTCGTTCAGTTGTGCTTCCAGAATTTGGACGCCTCTGTACAGCCGAAGACTTTCGGAGGATGAACTGCAATGAATAATTTTTCGACTCAGAAACCATGTGAAATTTTAGTACGATGAGCATTTCTTTTGCAACACATGGGTGCATTTGCATATACGTAACGCGAGAGGTGGGGGTCTAAGGCTCTAATGATATCGTGCCGATGTTGCATATGCTAAAGGAGGCCCCATGTCTGGAAAATCGCGATTTTGGCGTTAGTAATTTATGGACGGCCCCTAACCTTTACATACATATGCTATATTACATGACACAATTTATCAAGCCCTGAAAATTGCAAGATTTTGAATAAGTTTTTCACTGCAAGACCACAACTATTTAGTTTTTGTTCCAAAATTTGTCCAGCAAATGGGCATTCATTTCATTATTTCGTAATAGTATTCTTCATATCGTAAAATAAGTTACGACGGATAGGAGATTTTGTCATCAAAATTGCGTTACTAAGATTACCATTTTTAGGAACGTTGACCCTGACCCCTTGTTTTTTGGTAAACTATTTTACGGCACCAGCAATACGTAATGGTACGAAGGCAATTTTGAATACCCTCAGTGTTGTTTTCACAGTGTTGAAATATAATATTTTGACATGAGTACGCCCAACAGTGTTTAAAGTGGTATTTACCTAGTGGTATTTACCTAGTGGTATATACCACTGGTAAAAACTGGTATTTACCACCTAACAAAAATCGGGTAAAGCGGTATAAAGTGGTATGAAGTGGTATAAACCTATTTGGAGTATTGTGAGACAAACTTTACCATATAAAGTTCACTATAATTTACAAAAACTAATTATTTTATAGGTTGATACAATAAATAACCTTAAAATAAATATATGTACATATTTAAGGAGCCGTCGGTATTCACAATAGTTGAAATAAATACCAGGCATGGTATTTATTTATTACATGTATATACATATGCATACATGTACATATACAATAGACATATAGTGAGTAGTATAAAAGTCATAAATTGTTATTCTCACAGTATTAAGATGATATAAACTTTGTTCTCTGGCAATTGATGCGCTAGGACTAGGACACACTTAATTTAGATTGTTAATGTAAACGGTTTACAAGAAAGTTTAAAAATGTGTAAAACTCTGAAAAAATATACATTTCTTATGGTCAGTATACTTTAGTTTTATAATTTATAGTATGCTTATTAAATAAGATGGGAATGTAATGAAGATGAGAATATCGAACCACAAAGTATTTAAGATATTATTAAAAATATTTAATTTGACTTTCCCACACTGTAAATTGACCAATCCTGAGTTTTTACCACTTGTTACCAGTTTATACCACTTTTTACCATTTTACCACTTTTTACCACTTTTTACCACTGTGATGGTAAAAATCAAACCAGGTGGTAAAATTTAAAACACTGACGCCCAATGTACATACACTTACTTTCTTATGATGATTTCCAAGTAATCCACCATCCTCCCTGTTGTAGGAAATACGACATGGATTGGATAAAAGAATCCTTTGTGCATAATGGTGAACACGAAGTAGAAATCCATCATCAGCATGGGAATCCAAGTTGCATAATTGACCTTAGGATTAGGTCCCGAGCAAATGGGACACTTAAGAAAGTACGCGCCCAGAAAAGGAGGCGCACAATGATCCACAATTACGCGTCCTAAATTTATGAAGCCAGACGCGAACCCCACGATGGATGCGATCACCATGAATCCTTCCAACCAGCGGTCTGTCCGTATCTTTTTGAAATTCGCAGCTAAAATTTAAAAATTTAGAGGCAATTCACAGACTGTGAAATTGACATTGTGAAATTCGCAAATTCCGTCAACTTACAAATTTTTAAAAAATTTTAGGAAAATTATATAGCTCACAAATTTTTGTAAACTTACTCAAATCAAGGGCGCCCTTTTACATATTTTATAAGACTTTATAAAATTATTTTGCAAAACGCACGGAATTTACAAAGTTACCAAGGACTACGTAAATTGCTTCGTAGCAATTTCAAATGCGTGCATATGAAAAATACTGAAATTTTAAATCATTACCTTTGAATTTTTCCGCAAATTTTAAGTCAGAATTGACTACAGACATCGCTGTCATGTTTGGACGTACCCCAAAGCTCCAAATATTTAGTAACAGTATAACATTGACAATCATCGCACCTTCGACCGCTTTCCCGAGGCATTTGTTCTTCCAGTCGTTCCGCACCACGGTCAGGGCACAGATGAGATAAAACGACTCAAATATTGGAGAAAACCACATGACATATTTTTTCAACCGACTTTTGCTCACAACAATTCGATCCTCGCCGGGACTTAATTCCAAGGGGAAGCATTTCAGAAAGTCCAAAATTCGCATGTGGCGTCGGAGATGTTTCAAATATCCGGAACCCAGAGGGGTCGACATATCCGGAAACTTTGGCGAGGCCAAGGTGGGCTTCGTTTTATGGGAATAATTACGCTTGTGGCGTATAACTAGGAAATATTGCAGGATTTTCCAAATAATATATTTTTTTCGTAAGTACATAAAAATTTTGAGAAGAATTTGCAAATTTTCGAACTCCTTGAATTTGATCGATACTCGAGGTATTTTTGTAGTAAGAAAGGACGCTGGAAAGCTGTCGCTCCCTTTTATACGTGGAGAGTACACAGTTAGAAATCGGGTATAGTCATGTTGATCTTGATTTCTCGGTATTAAAGTGCTACCGCATGGTATTAAAATTGTATGGGTCCGTTAAAATTTGCTGGCGATATGGCTAATCTTAAGAACCGAGGTATTACTACTCAATATTACTTTTCACTACTTTTCAGTACCACTGTGGTACATTCTTGTAGGAGTACAACTTGGTACTATTTTAATACTGGATTTCTAAGAGTGTCGTATCTAGTTTACGTCATCCAAGGAGAGATTATGTTTATCAGACATGTTTTTGCCAATGGACTTTACAAATTTAATACCTCTGCGACAAGACCACTTTTTCTGGAACAAAATCCGACCAGAGAAGGTGGAACAGTGTTATACATAATTGACATATTTTGAACTAAATGTTGCTTCTTGTTACATATATATTCACCTCATTTGGTTACGTATCTAATCAAGGTGGTAAATTTCCATTCAGTTTTTTTTATTTTATCTGATATTTAGTGCTTACACAACTTTCCTCCAAGTGCATAGCATCAAATTGTGGCCGGACAATGTTACATGGAAAATTACGCAACCAACCAAACCTAGCAATTAGCCAATCACAACAAAGCCGAAAGTCGAATCGGTAATTCTAAAATTGGCGCATGGTTACATCAGGACGGGATAACAGGACGGGTATATGTACATACATATGTATATAGGAATATATTATACAATCTGTAATAGGCTCATATCAGGAAATATTGGAAACATATCCACCTAGAAACTTTTAAGTGCAGTATGTAAGTTCACTAGTTGAAGACGCACGTATACATTTTATTGGATTGAATAGGATTGCATATGCCAGATTCTTTGTAACAATGGGCATTTAATAATCTGTAAAGTGTACCTGCTTTCTCCGCGTAGTGATTTATGATCTGCGCTGTCTGTTGGTCAATAGTTATAGAATTTTGTCATCAACTTTGTAAGGCCAAGAAGTGGCTACGTAATGGATAAGCAAAATACGTACATACATATTCACATACATAGGTATTCGATGTCGTATATACGTATTAATGAAATTCTCCGAAGCGTATAGTTTCTAAAGTATTTATCATAACACGTAAATAGGTACACATTCGTCTAAAAAATTTAGCTGCTTACTTCCGCCTCTTTAGGCTGTCGTGTTTGCTTAAATAATCAAATTCTAACGAATGTACATACATACATAAAATTATATGGAAATTAGTTGTTATTTTGTGTAATATACTCCTTAATATGTATGTACACGACTTTCTTGGTATGCTACATACACATGCTTGCATGGCAATAATACATACATGATGTATGATACATCATGGAAATACAAACACCTTCAATGCAGAGGGATCAAATGAATATCGATTTTGAAACATTACATAACATCTGTATTGTCATGTCCCTTATCGTAAAAAAATGAATAAATCCTGGTACACACATACATCGTTAAATTCTGCTCCTGTTAAGATGATTTTTTGTGAAAGTTTGACCAATAAATAATAAAGGCCAGCATTAATAAGTTGCGAGTGAACACACAAATATTCCTTTAATACCTACATTTCTAAGTAATAATTCGAGGTCCAAAAATGTTTAAATCCTACCTTCTCAAAAGCTCAATTTTCCGTACAAAGTACAATTTTGCTTAGAAATAAGTCCGTATATAACTTTAAATCATTTCAATTTTATTCCATATATATAAGAAAAGCTGGTGCAATTTTCGGTATAATTTAAGAAAATTGAGCAAGCACTAATGTAATCCAGCAAATAATTAGAGTTTGAAGAATGCCGGAAAAATCAAATTTTCGGGTTCCCTCCGCCCTCCGAGAAGAACAAGCATCATCCGGAACAAATACCTCGTACTGGGCGGGATAACTGGCAAACTGCTCGAGATATTCGTTCTTGACCCGTTTCTCACACCCACCTGAATGCCGCCCAAAACGATGTTGGCGTTGATAATCTACGACGAATTTATCTGTCCAGTTCTTAAAATTGTTGATGGTTTCGTGATAAGGTCCCCTCATGTAGGCGGGGTCATCAATGTAAAATAAAGGTCCCGTCACAGCATCTTCCTCACTTTTGGGAAATGAAAGTAAATAAGTTTGGCGAGATTTAACTGGACAATGGTATTTAGCCGATATTTTTGCAAATTACAAAAATTATATACTCTCCTGGTATATGTATTCAGTGTTTGCCATTGATAAAAAACACTTGCAAGAAGTCACTACAAGAAATTGTTTTTTTTCATGTAAAATGTCTTACAGTAGTGCAAGAAGGTCACCTAGCCGACAATCTGTATAATTACGTGTCATACAGAGGGTGAGCCGATAGGTGTCGCTTATTTCCTACATTTTTTGCAATTTCTTGCATCTTTTGTACCTTCAATTTCTATCAATTTCCTGGATGTTTTTCACCTTGCATTTCTTGCAATTTCTTGAAGTGTAGTCCAAGAAATGTCGAAAATGCGCAAGAAATAAAACACTTGGCCTGTCAATTTCTCAGGAAGCGTTCCGTACGATTGTTTTACCTAATGTGCATATTTTAATTGCTTACATGTGATAACGAGTGATCCCAAAGTCAAAACCGTGCAATAATGCTGGGTACATGGATTCGCACATGTCCATCTCTTGTTTCGGGTAATACCAAATGTAAGTGATGCACATTTCATTACGTGTCGACTGCCCGCCAACCACGACCTTTCCCTCATTCCATTTCGTATTGTAGGTGCATTCTGTAAATAAGTCGGGATCATATTATTCTCACATTTCGGATTATTCGGATTATTCGGACTAAATTTATCTACCCGTGGTCAGCTGGTCACCCGGCATGAGTTTGACCGGCTTGATGGGATGGCTGGTTTGAAAGTCGAAATCATAATGGTCGTCGTAATCGATCCAAGGAAGTTCTTGGTTTCCTCGGAAATGACGAAGTTTAAATTTCCTGCCTAAATATGTCGATAATAGAAATATGATCTTGACGATAGTATCATCACAGCTTGAGGAAATATGGTTCCTTAATTAAATTAATGATCACGTGTAGGGTTGCCCCGGGTAGTGGTACTACCCGGTACCCGGCTACCCGGTACTCGGCCTAAACTTTTTGCCGGGTACCCGGCTACCCGGCCGGGTACCGGGTAATTTTTAAATATGAAAAATAAGTGGATTTTTCTACTTTTTTAGAATATGCAACAATTTTATAAGTTTTAAAAATTACAAGCTAAGTTTCTACAGTGCAGACTTCATTTTTAACCTTCGTACCAAATTTCAGATAAAAGTAATATATTGTAAAAATTGGTACGGGTCGCATTCTCTAAGGCTACATTCACTATGGTTACACTGCTCCCCCAATAAGACCCCCGCAGATCAACATGGTGACCGATGTAGCCTATCTTTGAATTTGTTTGCCATATCTTTGTCCAATATGCATGTGCTAAAAATTTCAACTTCTTCAGACTAATGAATTGGGCTAGAAAGTGGATATTACATAAATGAAAGAATCATATGGGACACACAAAGAGCGTACTCACGACAATGTCTTACATATTTATCATCGCAATAATTTAGCAAACTTGTTAGGCGTCACAAAGTTATTTCTCAAGGGATTACCTCACAAAACAAATTTTGCGAGACTTTCAAGGTGATATCTTGCGAATCGATTAGCATGATAACACTTCGAAAGTCTCTAAAATCAACCAAATCTATTTTGAGTTTTTAGTCATGGGTTTCGCAATTTCTCTCGCTGATGAGTCTGCGAAGTAATTTTACGAAAAAAACAATGGCTTTTTGGCCAAGGCTTTGCAAATTTCTAAAAACTTCGCAAGTTATGCTTAATGTTCGAAATATGCAAATTGACTGATTGATAATTCGCTCACGTGAGTGCGCTCAAACTAATTTTCAAATTTGTATCATAATTTACCAATAAGTGTTGGCTAAGGTTGTGCCCATTGTTTCCAAATATATTATTTAATACCAAGTAGAAAAAGGAACTTATATTTATATAAGTTCAGTAAGTTTATATTTTTTTGCAAGATTTTTGAATTTTAAGTAAGAAAATTGAATATTTAAATTACCCGGCCGGGTAGACCGGGTACTTGAGTGTACCCGGCCGGGTACCGGGTATCCCAAAACAGGCCGGGTATGCCGGGTAACGGGTAACTACCCGGTACCCGGGGCAACCCTAATCACGTGCATATAAGTTTTCACCTGAAATATGCGAGTGGAAACCAATATTAAAAATGGTAACCCCATCCACCTCAGCAATGCCCCAGGAAGTGCATGAAGGTCCGCAGTGACCGACAACAACATAATCCTCCGCATTGGGGGGAACCGAGATTATAGGAGAAGTCGTATGCAGTACAGCTAGTAAACCGGCGTCCTGCTCCCTACAATTTTTTAAAAATTAAATTGTCATAAGCTAAATTTTGAATTAAATATTACAAATTTCAAAAAAATTACTTTGTTTCGTTCGTGAAATAAACGGTGACTCCGCTTCGCACCGCGACTCCCGTTAGAGTCGATGGATTATCGAAGTGCATTTGGATCATGTAATACTCTGCTGGAGAATTGCCGATCGGATATCCAACATTTTTTGGAAACGTCATCATCTACAAAACAAGAGCGACGTGATTTACCAAACTTTGCCAAATTTTTTGCAGAAATCGACGCCGCCGATCGTTGCCGGGCGCCTGAAGTATTTTTAGCGGCGCTAAAAAATTGGTCGGCGTCAACCTCTAATTTATTTAAGTACGTACATACCTTTCCTCCTTTTGCCCAAACGAACAGTTCCTGGTCACAGCGGACACGTGGTCGTGGAACGGCAGGTTCAGGGTCCCAGCAATGACCTCCAAGATATCCAGATTCCACGGTGTAATTCCCTAACACGTCGTCCAACGTTTCAGTCGAGTCGGAGGAAACGAAGCACGTCGATACGATAAAGTGATGCGTGTGTTTAATGGAAGCGAGACCGTCAAGTAACGCGTCAAACTGGAAAAATCCATGCAAAAATCTTAATAGATTCGACCCGAAGTATGTATGTAATTAATTTGGTTTTACCGCGACAACGTGATGTTTGCTGAGAAGGGTGGGCGCTTTGTAGTAACTGCACCAATAAGTTGTCTCAAATGGTGGCATTTCCATGTTGAGAACCATTTCAAACTTGTCCAATCTGTGAGGATGGGTGTGGGTGTAGCAATTAATAGAATTATGGTTTCAATTTCTCTTAAATAACAAATTACTAATTAAAGTAACGAAGGAAGTGTAGTCAACTTTTTCCTTGTGTATGTAAATATGTATGTATGTGCAATTTTTATCATAAATACTCGAAAATCGACCATTTCCACGATTCCCACGTCACAGGTGAAGGTTAAACAGTATAAGCACATAAATATATCCATGCATTCATGATAATATTAGTTGATAAGTACTTTATAGCTTATAAGTAATCAAATTGATAGCACATGATAATCCTACCCGTTTAATTCCAGTTCTGGAGTTGGAGGACCGATAAGCTTGACAGATTTTGTCCCCCTCCGATCAGGAGTGTGATATTTTATCTCGTCGGTATCCCCATACGCCCAAATTAGTCGGGTCGTGTCATCCTGAGAAAATGTGAAGGATGGATGTGTTTAATATTTATTTACATACGATGTAAATATACTATGTACTATGTGATATGACTAATTTTTATTAAGTAAGTAACCCACCCCAATTGGGTAATCCTCATCGTCACAGGAATTAATAGGCCTAGAAAATTTAATCACAGTTTTGCCACCTTCTTCCACCCCTTGAATCACGGTCCAATCGAGGTGGGCATCAATCTTTGGTTGGGAAAATTCTTTGGCGTAATAATCCTAGAAAATGAGAGCATTTTTGCTGCATGTGAAATGAGAATAAAAAATGGTCTGGAAAATATTGAGGGTATTCATTCACATTTGTAATAAAAAAATTAAGTAAAAATTATTTAGTTCGGAATTTTTTTCATAAGATTGTTTCCAGGCCAACATGCGATGGACGAATACCCCCATTTATGTACAAGGAACAATAAGAATTTTATTTAACATGGCTGCAAAATAGGAGCTAACGAACTAAATTAATTAAAAATATTTAGTAGTCTAATTTATACATTAAAAGTAAATCATGGTAAAATTGTGACAGAAATTTTAAATAAGTTTACATACATTTGAATACGTGGAAAGGTCTGGGTTCACGCCAGCGATGAAGATGTCCGCACCGACCATACTTCCCGACGGAGAAATTCCCAATCCCACCCATCCCGTCGTTTCCACTTCCATCTCAAAAGTTATCAGATTGGTTTCCAAATCAAATTCCCATCCCAGAAAAACTTTTCCTTGACTGTCCAATTGTTCCCTATTTTGAAAATTACCAAGCCTTGAATTCTTAGCATGCGCAGATACTAATGCCAAAAGTAGTAGGATGAATAATTTAAGGTGCATCATATTTTGTTAATTTCCGAGCTAATTATTATATCCCAAGCATGCAGTTTTATCGCTATTGTAAAATCAGACTGAAAATTTTACTTAATTCAGGGCAGATTAAATGGTTGCAACTTTATTTATGGAATACAGATAATCTTATCCGAGTTCTAAAGTAATAAAGCACTTATTTGTTGTGTACTCAAAACTTGTGAGTCACAATTTGTAACGTTGTACGTGCATAAGCAAGTATTTTGCACATTGTTTATCGTACAGAGATTCGCATTTCTATTTGATAACGAATTTGTCGTTGAATAACCCCGGAACGGTATGTCACAGCGGGTCAAAATTTTGAACAGAGGAGCATGTTATCCTCAGATGGGTGTGTGCAAAAATCCAACTCTCTAATTTCAAAACTGCCTCCCCCACAGCCCCCAGAAGTCGAGACAGTCATTTCAACTCTTTTCAAACTCCGGCTAAAAAATTCGGTCTCCGCAGAAATTTTTTTCTTTTCACGTATCCGGTCTCAAATAAGCCCATTTGACTTATATCGGGGGATTGTACAGGTATTTCACTATTAGATGTGATTTTTATCTCCAATATAGCTTCAAGGTCATTTGCATAATCTTGGATCAACTTTGCGGTCTGGGAAGACGCTCCGTCATGATGAAAAATCATCTAATTTATTTTTTTGCCGTACAGTTTGGGAAAATGGTATTCTAAAAGTGGTTTCAATACACGGTCAACATAATACTTCGAAGATTCTTTCACTTTTTGGGGGACTTTGATAAGTGGGAGGACACCACGACCCGACATTGCACCCACGACCATAAACTTGTTACAAAAGTTCTCCTCACGGGAAAGCACCAACTTGCGTGAATTGTTTTCGGCATTTGTCGTGTAGTAGGCTCTTTGAACCCAATTAGTAACTTATAGAGAAAATAGTGCTTCGTCAAATGTCACCAAAAACTCACTCTTATTCCTTAACAGAAGATTTGAATAAATTATTTTGCAAACACGGACGCGATTTTTTTCCTGTTTTTCGGTCAGCTTATGCACACGAGTTTTCCGACGAAGTCGTTTCTTCAAAATCTTAATTTCTCTTTTCACTCAAGGCTTAGACACCCAACCTTACGGGAAATTTACTTTTGGGTCGGTGGATTGTCTTTTGAGGTCACAAGGTCAATTTTTCTAAGTACGGTCGGAATTAACACTTTTCTTTGCTTTCTTCTAGGGGTGGTGGTTGCCCTTTACTCAAAATTTCTCACTTTTCACCTATATTTTTCAATACTTTATTGATTCTAGATTTCGAAAATGTATTCCCTTCACTTTCAAGATGTTTAATTATTTTGGTGTATGAGCATTTAAGTTTGGAAAGACTTTTTATTACTGTCTCGACTTCTGGGGGCTGTGGGGGAGGCAGTTTTGAAATTAGAGAGTTGGATTTTTGCACACACCCATCTGAGGATAACATGCTCGTCTGTTCAAAATTTTGACCCGCTGCGATATACCATTCCGGGGTTATTCAAGGACAAATTCGTTTTCAGATAGAAATGCGAATCTCTGTAGTTGAGTAAGTAGGTTTTTTGGAAAATTTTGGTACAACTATACAAATTTTCCCGGTGAATCTCTGCGAGTAGCGTGATGCCTAAAAATATCAAGCAAAAAATTTAGATTAAAAAAATGTCTGGTAACAGTCTGAAACCAGGTGAGAAATTAAGCCTACAAGTTTTAGAAATGATTTTAAAAACTTATGCTGCAAATGCGACGTTTGTGTCAATATATTAAATACTAGCGTATAAGCCCGTCTTCCGCCGGGCCATAAGTTCCACACCTTGAATACCAGTCAGCACCGGAAGTAATTAAATTAAGATTAACTTTCTCCACTTTCACTTCCGTTTCGGAAAATTAGATACTTTGACTTCCGTTGCAGACAAACATTTCCAGCTTATAATATAGAAGATACCAATTTGTCTTATAGAACTTTAAATTGGTGTACAAATCCAAAATATTCATTTTTTAAGTATGTGTGTGTGTCCTAAGGATTGACCATAATTTTACCGATTGGACCCATAGTGCATTCTCTAATTGTTGATATGAATTTACGAGGTGGAATTACAGATATTTTATCTCGGGTAAGTGTAACGCTGATGCGTGGCTTTACTTATTCACGTCATGCAAAATGTTTTTGGATTGAAGTGTCAACTTTTTTATTTATTTATTAAGGGTTACTAAATTCTGCGTACTGAAGTTGTTTTGAAACATTACGAATTACTGACATCGTATACTTTTTCAAGAATTTTGACCGTGATTATATTTTGCTACCTAATTAAATATTAGATACATATGTATGTATGTACATTTGTGTTGCAATTTTTCATGCAAATCTAGTCTCCTCTCCGACCTGGCCTCTTCTAAATAATGCCAAAGAAGCATTAGTCGACATATACTTACATAAATGGGCGAAGGTATGTCTCTGTTTCAGAATGGGTGATTTCACCGCATAAGTATATATGCTCCCTTCATGTGGCAGTGAAATCTGAAACAGAGTTTAAAAGGTTCAAGAAACCCATGGCCTGACTCAACTCTGATGGCGTTACACCGACCCCAACGTTGCCAAAATACGAGGACGTCATGAAATAAGCCATATTATCAGAGCTTTTAAGCTGTTTAACAGCTGTAAAGATTAAATATCGTGTTTATTAGCGACTGGAATTTGTGTATCACAGGATTTCCATAATCTCCATGCAAAATATCTTTAGCATAAAATACAAAATTATTATAATTATGCAAATTCAGACAACTTGAATTCACTCCGATATTCACTCCGGTATAGATACTAAAAGATACAAAAATTAAAGACATATGCTAAATAACGCAAACTGATCACCACGGTTTTCTCATCGTCCTTCACGGAAACGGCTTTGGGTTCTTGACTCTCCAACTTCTTTACGATTTCCATCCATCCCTGCACCCGGAGTAGGCTTTTCCCATTAACTTCATCAATCCCAATATTTCAAGCCCGAAGCCATCAAAACCTCTGAGATCATTCAATGGCAATGGCAAATTTTATTACTCGTCCTCACTTGGCGTAATAAATTGCATACATATGTATGTATTGTACATAATGTAGGTATGTATGTATATATGTATGATCATTCAGTATTTGCAGAAGATATAATAAATTCCATGCTAATTTTATGTATAAGTTTATTTAATCATGACTGCTAATGTCAACAGGATTTATTTAGGTATGTGTGTATGTACATATGTATATTAAGGAGGGGAGCTTGTGAGGTTGATAATAACAGATCCTGATGCCCTTTGGATATGTGAGTGTACTAAAACCCTGAAGTGGTTTGACTCCATGGCCACATTTGCGCCCGCCACACCCACTCAAAAATGCCCATAAAACGCTTTCACTCCAGTTTTCACTCATTAAAATCCACGCCAAAAATCCAATTTCACTCGGATTATGAAATTTCTTTCACCATTATACTCCCAGATAGTTGCTTTCTTCAATCCAATATCAAACTCAATTTTTTCGAAATTTTTAGTATCTTTAAAATTTAAAATTTTGAATGAGCATTGTTGTAGTAATCAACAATGCAAATTATTCCTGCGAAATAATCATCAGCAAAATTGAGCTTGTTATTGGATTGAAGAAAGCAACTATCTGGGAGTGTAATGGTGAAAGAAATTTCAAAATCCGAGTGAAATTGGATTTTTGGCGTGGATTTTAATGAGTGAAAACTGGAGTGAAAGCGTTTTATGGGCATTTTTGAGTGGGTGTGGCGGGCGCAAATGTGGCCATGGAGTCAAACCACTTCAGGGTTTTAGTACACTCACATATCCAAAGGGCATCAGGATCTGTTATTATCAACCTCGCAAGTCCTAAGTACAATGACTTTTCACGTGTTCATTTTATTTTATATTGATAACAAACATGGGAAAACATGGACATTCGAGACAAAATGTCCCATGCATATATTGAAAGTAAAATATACACCAAATCCAGTAAGTATTTCTAAGTAGTTAAAAAGTAAGACTCACATTGATTCTCATGGTTCATTAAACCTATTAACGAATGTATGCATACAACATCGTTTATCTTGGATAACTACACATTATTTGGTCATCTCCTTCTAAATAGGTACATGAGAAATATACAGGATTTATTCTTTTCTACACTGTAAAGCATCCGGTAGAGTCATATATGTACTCCGTACTGGTATTGATTTGGTAATAATTCAATACCGGATTGGTTATAGTTTAATTCTGAGTGATATAGATTTCATTACCACCTCATTACTACGCCGTAACAATCGATATTACTGATGCCGGTAGAGTCATATATGTAATCCGTTCGGTAATGATTCGTAATGATTCAATACCAGATGCCTAAGAGTGTAAGTAAATAAATAAGAAGAACTTTTTTTTCATGTCACGAAGTTGACTTTCGCCAAGATTAATGACATTCTTAAATTTGTTGAAGAAGTAAGAATCACATCAAATCACTTGGACTTCAGGTTACTTAACAGTATGTACACAGCATACATAATCTCCGGTCATTGTCCGTCTTAAGACTGACCACTTGAATATTTTGTCCGACTATAAATTTGACAGCTTTATCGTGTTGAAACTCATTCCACATTTGCCATAAACCCGAAAGATATTGTAGAATTTATTCGTACATTAAAAATTTTACAAATGGCGTTATCTTGTCCCCTCCCACCCGGCGGATGTACCTCCCACTTCAACTCAATTCCCGACTTTTGCTGCGCCAAGCGAGCCTTTGACGAGAGGGGGGTGCGAAATCTGATTAACGAATTTAAGCGAATCTTCCTCTACCACGACGTGCAGGACGAGTTCGGACTGATCATGAACCATCGCCACTTTCTCCTCGAAGAGAACGAAATCCTTGTGGAAACTTTGAAGCAAGATGGAAACATTAGCGTCGCTTTTCCGTGGAGGGTCAAAGGTTAGTGATTCCTTTGCCTAGAAAATTTGCAATACTAAAAATTACGGTTTTTAACCTGTAAATAGACGGTGAAGCCCACCCGACCCCGAATTCGGAGTGGGATCAGCACAATTTAACGAGAAAAGAGTTCATCGTCCCACAAACGTGGAAATTTTATCAGGACGGGAGTCTAATCCCGTACGAATTTTTGGCGTCCGATTCCCCTCAGCCTGAGCTAAGTCGACCATTTGTGGCCGAATTGTTTGAAGTCATGCGGCTGCACGGGGTCCAGGACGCGTTGGGACTTCGCCGTCTCGATGGCGACAGAAACGAGGAGGCATTTGAAGTCACTCCGGAAGGACGTCGGGTCAGCATCACCACGATGGGACGCAAACCTGAAGAAATTACTGCTGAAATGTCCACCGGTGCGGTGGGTAAGGTTTTGTGGTATTTTACAAAAGATGGCAATACAGAGGAAGCAATGGGCTGTAGTAGATGCGGAACTTGCATATTTTGTTGGAATTTTATTGCAATGCCAAACGAACAAGTGACTTAAATTCAAATAAATGTTTGTGGTGATAAGTACTATCTTTTTATGAAGGTAAATGGAAACATTCTACAAAAAGGTTTGGGTAATTATTAAATATTTGTATTCATGTACCCTTCCAATTTAACGTTGTAAGCTAATAAATATCTATAACGCTTCTAATTTTTAACCATGGTAGTTTCATACAAATTGGAATATGTATGTATGTAGGGATAAAATGTATGTTCATAGCGGTTGGATTTGTTTAATCGTTTAAGTTTTAGGGAGAAAGTTCAATAAAGTTATATTTAAAGAAATTTAAAGAATTTTTATATGAAGATATGCTGAAATAATTGTTTAAAAATATCGAAATGAAGATATATTAGTTAGTAGATATAGTTAGTTAGTAACATATTTGTATATTGTATGTGTCACTCGTGGAAGAGCATGGTTTGTTACTGTGAACTTGGTAGACACTTGAATAAAGCATAATCAATCAATCAATCAATAAAGTACATAATTGGTGTTCAATTGTGCAAAGCTTTAAAAAGTGCATTAAATTCAGTTAACATTCATTCAGTTATTTATAAATGAAGACAAAAATCGTCTTGTGAAAGTATTTATGTAATAGGTATATTTCTGTAACTCAAACGGTAGTAAATGTGTACATGCATATGTAGGGATGTAAAGTTCGGATTGCCAATCCGAAGTCTAGAAAGGATCTTTAAGCAAAAAAGTTGTCTCATTTATGTATTTATTAAGCATATGTATGCATAAATTGTAATGATGTGTTGTGGATTTGTAAAATAAGAGGTTGCACTCTAGTAATCATAAATTTATCTGTTTTAGTATCATGTAGTCCGTTATTTATTTTGCAATGCATATGAGGTACATGTAAAGCTAAATACTTCTAATCGTAGCAAAGTGCTACCCGTTACCGTGAATTAAATATTTGAAATATTGAAATTACAGGCCAGCCATATCACACAAATTTATCACCACGGTTTTCTCATCATCCTTCACGGAAACGGTTTTGGGTCCTTGAATCTCCAACTCTTGGCGATTTCCATCCGCCCCCGTTCCCGAAAATAGCACGCTTTTCCCGTTAACCTTATCAATCCTGACATCCCTCGGGTTTCCATCCGGGCTGAGCTGAACTTTGACCTCATCTTTGGAGGTGGTCACGTCAAAGGAAAAATCCCCCGCCGAATATTTAGATCCAATAATTTTTCCTGTCTTTGCATAATCCAACTCGTACGTGAGATGTTCAACCTTAGATTCGGATGACGCTGATCGTCCAAAACTCGGGAGCCAATTGAACCAATTGTTTCGCTGCACGACTTGAAATCGATTACTGTAAAAAAATAGTGCAAATTAATTATGCATTTTTTACCGATTATTCAAATGGAAAATTATTTATATACCGAAACGGAGTGCTTCGGATATGCAGGTTTGATGTCCCCTCGACAACCAGATTTTGACTGCCCCCACTGATTTTCAGGTTAGAATTATCCACCGCCTTGACAGATCCGCCTTCCGAAAGGGTTGCATCCGTATTTGAATTTTCCTTAAATTCACAGGAAACTGCACCCTTTCCAACAAATTTAAAATTTGAATTCGAGCTAAAGTTGCATTTCCCGTCGACCAGGTCGCCATTAAGCTGAAAATTAAAAATTTGATGATATCATAACCAAATAATTTCTGCATATTTTTTGCTGAGGTTAAAAAGACGTTGATCCTTGCCGACATTATAAAATCTGTAAATTCTGTAAAGTTTATCGAAATTTTATAAATGTTTATTTCGAATGAAAAATAGGTTACAATTTTTGTAAACTTTTGTGTTTTGTAAAAGTTGTTAAAATTGTTTCACAAAACTTACAGATTTTACAAGTTACAAATGACTGCGTGAACTGGTTCATTGTTTCGATATATATGTATGTATTTATGTACATAAGGCTTTTATTTACTAATTTATACATGCATGTATGTATGTACGTACCTCTGAATTAGAGCAATTGTCCACATTCAGGTCTCCATTTTTCCAAGTAACATGACTGTTACTCGAGTTGGTCAATTTTGCAGAAACATTGGCAAAGTTTAGGTTAGAATTTGAATTATTGAAAATGCTTAGTTTAGACGATTCACTGAATAATTTCGTGTTCGAATTCCCCTCGACATTTCCCGAATTGTTGTCCCCACTTATTTTAGAGTTGCTATTGTTCCCCGTAATCAGGGTGTCCAACCCAGCAGCTAAGACGGAAGCCAACATACTTCCGAGAATTATAAATTTCACGGGGGCGAAGTTACAAATATTTAGAATTTTAAGGGCAATTTTTTAACACAAAGTATGAGATTTTGTTTAATGTTTTAAGTTGCGCAAGTTTGTTATTGCGAAATTTTACGTACGTACTTCCAGGAAATCAATTGATTACGGTGGAAATTGGTACCATCAGCCGGAACGAGCTGGAAAACTACTGCGCAAATTTATATCCAACTTGCTCCTACATTGCAATTCTGTATCCATCAAATCCCATGAACCAAGTTCATCAAACCCGTTGAGCTTACTCTCATGACAGTGGGCCTCCTCAGACACACGAAAATATCGTCGCTTAGAATTTCGCTTCGTTTTTCGCTTACTTCATGATAAGCGAGCTCTCGGATAAGCGACCAAAAACTCCACTCAGAAGTGGGGTTAAGGTCGGTTAGTTGAAGTCTCAACAAAATTTTGCAATTTTCATAATTTTGGCAATGCTATCGATAAGCGAAAAACAAAGCGAAATTCGAAGCGACGATTTTTTCGTGTGTCTGAGGAGGCCCAGTGTTTTACCTTACACAATGTTATTCATGTGTTAGAGTCTCTTAGGATTAGGATTAGAGAGTGAGTGGTGCTTCATGGATTCAGGGTTCTAACACTAACACTGAATGGTGTTTGTTTTATGCATTTTTTAACTGATAACACTAAAATTTTCTACAAATACTTTTGAATTTAGCTTGAAAAATGTTTCATGGATTTTATCAAGAACGGGCACTATGTTAACATGTATGTATATTTTATCAAGTATTTTTACCTTAAATAATTCTGATGTTACATATTTAACAACAACATGTTTAACACAAGAATAGAAAAATTAATAGATGTACATAAAATATAAGGTTTTGTAAAAAAAAAACTCCATGAAACCATGGCTCATTGTAGTCAACAGGATGCATGGAAACATATCTAGATTAATATAACCTTGAACTCCCCCTCCAGCTTGTGTGCAGGACATTAAGGATGTCGAATTTGGTATGCTTACTTATTCATACATATTTATGTTGTAATCTAATAAATATTATTTCCCATTTATCTCACTATGAAATTTTGCAGGAAATAAAGACCCATATTTATTAATTAAATATGTATATATGTATATACCTATGTTCGTTAACATAGATAAGTAGAAACATGCGGTTTGCAAAAAATCATACCTCGCAATTAGCTTTTCTTAAAAGTTCGCTTTGTCAAATGATGTATTACGCAATTTAAATAGAATACCTCCCCCTAAACATTGCAAGTAAGTGAGTGTGGTTCAAAACTTGGTTTATATTTTCTCGTACGTATTGACACTTGAATGTGCATACACACATTTCACGTTTCACAATTTAATTTCAATTGTAACCCACATCCTTAATGCCAGCTACCTAACTGGAGGGTGGAGGCGGACTGGAATCTAACTAAACTGCAAACAAACGTAATACTTTTGTACGAACAGATATGACTTGTATCTCATCCACAATAATAAACTGGATCTCATTAACTCCAACACAAATTTCTGTTGAACTTGGTGAGATACGTATACGTAAACTTATTTCTGCATGGATGGCATAGGAAGCAAATAAGTTATGCACTATGCACACATAATTCCCTGATATATATGCATGTACATATGCGGGTATGCACCAATTTAAGAACAGTGCTTAATTTTCATGCCCATGTACATATTTTATTTTATATATTTTCTTTAAACAAGCTCCAAGTAAGAAATACATCACTTCTATGATTTCATGTATATTATTTGCACTTAAAAAGTAAGAATCACATTGATTCCCATGGATTAAAGATGGGTATATATGTAGGTTCATTAAGCCCATTAATCACTACATACATAATCTTAGGTAGGTAAACATTTGGTCAGAGATTGTCTAAATGTACACATGAAGATGTGTACGCTAACCACATTCGAACTTAAGTTAAACGGATGATTTTTTTCCCTGTCATCTCATGAGGTTGACATTTGGACGATTTATTACGTGTTGCTTGAAAATGAGAATTACAGCAGACTCCATATATCTGCATACCCTATGCATGTGCTATGCTCAACTACATGCAAAATCTCAACCGATTATCCGAATTTGGAACGAGTAATATTAATTTGTGCAGAATTTAGTGGACAACAAACGGTGAAAACGGTGTTTGCCATCAAAATTTATTACTCATTAAATTATTACTGTAGACAAACAATGCAAAAAAAAATCGCGCAGAAGTCTGCGTACCTTTGAGCAAAAATAATTTAAAATTCAAATTTAGCAAGACATTTTAGCTTAAACAATTTTAATATTTAGTTGGACCCCCATTAGCCTTAATAATTGCTTCAAGACGCCGGGTCATGGAGCTCACTAAATTTCTGGTCACGTCGGGAGAAATTTCATTCCAGACTTTTTCTATCCTCGATTTAAGCCCTGGAATTCCAGAAAATGACTCTTCTCTGACTTTTCTTTCGATGTGTTCCCAAAGATGCTCGATGGGATTCAAATCTGGACTTTGAGGAGGCCAATCCAATTTGACAATCTTATTTCTTTTGAAGTATTCCATGGTGGACTTCGCAGAATGCTTGGGATCATTGTCCTGTTGGAATGTATATCTTCTCCCAAGTCCAAGTTGCCTGGCAGATTCCTTCAAATTTCGGTCAAGTATACCTTGATATTTGAACTGGTCCATAATTCCGTCCACGAATTCCATTTTTCCAACCCCATTCGCAGCCATGCACCCCCATACCATCACAGATCCACCTCCGTGCTTTACGGTAGGGTTGAGATTCTTGGGATTTAAAGCTTGATTTGGTAGTCGCCACACTCGTCGACGTCCATCTGACCCAAACACATTATATTTCGACTCATCGCTCCATAAAATGCTATCCCAAAATGATTGGCCTTTGGAAATGTGGTCCCGTGCAAATTGAAGTCTTTTGGTTGCGTTTCTCTTTGAGATGAGAGGCTTTCGAACTGCTGGTCGGGACTTTAGGTTTTGCTTGTGTAGTACTCTCCGGATGGTATTGTGGCTCACCTGCTTCCCAAACATCTCCTCGACCTCAGTTGCAAGTTTCGGAGCACTTAGTGAAGGAGATATTACGACCTTTTTCACGACATGGCGGACTTCTCTCTGGGTCAACTTTGGTTTCCGTCCACTTCTTCTCTTATTTTGCACTGATCCAGTGAGTTTGAAATTTGTAACAATCCTCTGGACCGTCGATTTAGCTAATTTGTACTTCTCGCCTAATTTTTTGTATCCCAGACGCCCATTTTCATCACCTTTCCAATCTTGGATAATCCGATCGCGGATGGCTATGGAAATCTCTCTCCGTGGTGGCGCCATCATGACCTACGGTAAAACGAGTGACAAAATATTTGTTATGAATCTCTGAAATGTATTTATTAACTTACCTTGGTCAAACAAATCAGGGGACGTTGTTTACTTTACGAATTGCAGAAAGGTACGCAGACTTTTGCGCGCCGAAATTTTGTCATCTTATATTTCAGTATGTGTTCCACAACTAACACGAGTTATGGGCATTAGTTAGAAAAAATTCAAGTCCCCATTAAATTACCTGCAATTTGATACTAGTTGTTTCAAATTTGGATAATCGGTTGAGATTTTATATGCAACAGAGCATAGCACATGCATAGGGTATGCAGATATATGGAGTCTACTGTACGTCAAATCCAGTCTTCGTTTCTTGACGAAAAGTAGAAATCCTGTCAAAGCCCATGAACCTATTTAATTCTAATTCATGAAACCCCATGAACTTAATTGTAGTTAACCACACTAAATCAATATAAACTTTTTTCCATCTTTCCCATCTTATCCCAGTATAAATTCTGGAACTTTTACATGCTAAAACTCATTCCACACTTTTACCAAGCTTGTCTCAACAAAGTTTAGTACGCTAAATTTACATACATACATAGAAAATACATAAGTACGTGCATGCACAAACTTGCATGTAATACTGTAAAGTGTCTTTATTCATTAAAGTATGTATAAATTATACTAACAGTGTATGCACTATTATCATTTTACATGAGTATTAAGAAGAAAATTTAAATTTTAAATTTACATTGTATGTATTTGTATAGAAAACCGAAAAATGGCGCTTTCCTGCCCCCTCTCACCCGGCGGATGTACCACCCACTTCAACGCAATTCCAGACTTTTGCTGCGCCAGGCGTGCCTTTGACGAGAGGGGGGTGCGAAATCTGATCGATGAGTTTAAACGAATCTTCCTCGACCACGACATGCAAGACGAGTACGGGTTAATCATGAACCATCGCCACTTTCTCCTAGAAGAGAACGAAATCCTCGTGGAAACGTTGAAGCAGGATGGAAACATTAGCGTAACGTTTCCTTGGAGGGTCAAAGGTTATAGTGATTCGTTTTCACTATAAAATTCCAATACTAAAAATAATACACTTTTTAACCTGTAAATAGACGGTGAAGCGCACCCAACCCCGAATTCGGAGTGGGATCAACACAACTTGACAAGGAAAGAGTTCATCATCCCACAAACGTGGAAGTTCGATCAGAACGGGAGCCTAATTCCGTACGAATTTTTAGCGTCCGATTTCCCCCAACCCGAACCAAGTCAGCCATTTTTGGTAGAATTGTTTGAAGTGATGCAGCAACACGGAGTCCAGGACGCGTTGGGACTTCGGCGTCTTGACTGCGATAGGAATGGGGAAGCGTTTGAAGTCACACCGGAAGGGAGGCGAGTCAGCGTCACTACGATGGGAAGCAAACCTGAAAATATTTCCGGCACGGTGGGCAAAGTTTTGTGGTATTTTACAAAAGATGGAAATACAGAGGAAGCAATGGCGTGTACCAGATGTGGACAGTGTGTTGTATGCTGTGTTATTATGTAAATATGTTGTATATTTATATACATATGTGTGCACAAATATGCAAGAAGATAATAAATTTGAAAGGAAATTTTCCTATATGCAAATTTATCGTACAGTAACCAGTAGGTAACCTACATATTTATTAACTAATTCGGTTAATAAATCATGGACATTTAATATCTGACACACATTTGGAAATTTAAAATAATTGATGAAATAATGTGTTCCTTCTAAATTCTAACCTGATTTATTTATGTGATTTTTATGAAAATAGATTCCCTAAATTCTTACAATGATTAAAAAAACGAAGATATTTGGGGTATGTAGGTACATATGTATGTATGAATACAAAATAATTATTGATCATCAAATGAAATAATAGCGTTTGAATGATTTCTACATGTAGAATTCAGAAATGTGCACATTTCTACAGTAAAATAATTCCCAAGGCTTTCAATTGCGCAAACTATGTATGAATTGTTCAGTAAAATAATTACCGGTTTAGTAAGTAGTGTTCACCCTGTTTAATTAAGCGAAATAGGTGTATCATATGTATGTACATACACTAATCCTAAATATACCAAACTGGTATCTCGAGAAAATATTTGGTCCGATTTATCATGCAAAGGTATTTGCAAATCTCAAGAACGGGTCGTCATTTCAAAAAGCTTTTTTGCCAAGTATGTATTCATCAAGTAGGATTGTTCAATTGTGCACAATTTCAGAAAAACTGGTCGAATGAAATTTGTTATAAAAATGGTAAATCTTCAAAAAGTCAAAACCGAAAGCAAAATGAATATCTGTGGAAATCACTTCAACATAAGTATGTAGGTATGTGGTCCATTTAGACTTTAAGGACTCCTCTTCGAAAATATAAATTTTTGAATTTGTTGATTGAAAAAAATTCAAAACGGCGGCTTTTACCTTAATTGTTGGAAATCTATTATGATTGATTTTATTTTCTAAATATTTCGTAAATAAACAACAGCCACCAGAAGCGAGAAAGGAGGTTTTAACGTGTGTACATATTGTCATGCAAAATGCCTGAGTAACTTGTCATACATAAGCATAATTGCCATCAAATTAATTTTTAATCATTTAGCACGCAAACTTGCATAAATTTGGTAAAATCAATCAAAATACTTATTTATACATTTCACATTCATTCGTCCTATCAATTTAAATTTAGCATGACAAAGTTAGCTAATAATTTATTGGCAAATTTACTTAATGCATTACCATAAGTGCACTTGCCGTTTGGCTGATGCAAAATCCTTGCACCACTAACGGAGTCAGTGCCTCAGCAAAATTGCTACCAAACTGAATTTTTAGCGGTTGTAGTGACTTCTTCAACAATTTGTCCCCTTTCGTCCTTACAGTTCGGTTACATTGTTGAATCCACATTTTCGAAACTGAATTTACCTCTCCCGCCGCTGAAAACGTGGTCATAGTAAAAATCAAAAGCACCAAGTACGCCCCGCTAAAGACAAGCATTCTAAGTTTATCGACATCATTAGATTGTCCCAATTTAATGTTGATAATTCCCAGGCCAATCTGCACGCACGGGATGATCCACATCGTGACGGGGAAGATGCGTCCTTTTGTGCATGAATTTAACACTTTTTCATACACTTGAAGATTCCTGTATTTCTGAAATGTGAAATTTGATTCACTGAATTTGAATATGTTACAAATGTGACCAGACCACAGAACCTATTCCTACTTAATCCCACCCTCAACGAATTCATCTCCAGACGTTAATAAAATTCTCCGATCGACTTTAAAGTCAAAATTTCGTGGTTTTGCAACCTTATTACAATAATTGGTACTTTATTTTTATCGCCATGACCTCGATAAGATTGGATACAATTTTATCCAGTCAGGTCATATCGTATCGAAAACAGGTCATGGCGACAAAACTAAAGTACACATAATTTTTCAAGGTCGCTAAACCATGAAACTTTCATTTCAAGTCGATACCACAATTTGAGGCAACGGTTCTGCGGTCAGAATGTGACCTTGACCTTACTTGCACGTCGCCCTTAATGAGGGTCTTGCACTCCAGAAAGAGAAATGAGACAGAAATGAGGACAATTGTGAGAAGGTAGTAACTTCCCCCCATCACGGCTTGTTGCATTACGACGCCCTCCATGAATGCAAAACCTGCGTGGGGAAAAGGTCCCAGTGGAAAGGTGTCATTGCGACAGAATAGGGAGCTCATTAAGGGTGGATGGCAGGGGAGAAAAGTTGTTAGCAGCGACATCATTATGGACAAGCCCCAGCATCCTATTTCCAACAGATCGAACAGGTAGCTCACAAGGTTGAGAAAGATGCGTTCAGATCGACCATAGGATGACGCTGGAAAGTGCGAATAAATATTTTGGCAATATGTGCAACGTTTGAATTACTATGATTTGAACGAATGAAGAAATTCACGCAGGGCTTTGTAAAATTTTGAAATCGTAAATTCTGTAAACTTACAAACTTTTACAAAATTCTACTAACAAGTATTTCTTAGGGAAATCAGCTACCAAATTTTTGTGAACTTACTCAGATCCAGGACATCTTTTTATTTTGTAAAAGTTGATAAAATAATTTTTCTAAACTTACAGATTTTACAAGTTTCCAATGACTATGTGAATTTCTTCAATATAATCTGTAAAATTTTGTACTGAATTTTGTCATGTAAAGTATGAATTATAAATAGCTCCGTAAAAAATATCAGTTCAATAGCTTCTACTATTCACAGAATTAGAGCGATTTATATATTAATATCAACCACTTGCCATTCTTTGAAAAAATGTAATTTAGTATCTGCCCCGGTACGTAATCGATGTCAAAGTCGAACCGAAGAAGGAGCGTGGACAGATATGCGACCGTAAGCCCAAAACCTTCCGCACGTTGAACGATGCTCTTTGATCGCGTGATTGTCGCCACACCTTGACAAATATTCCAAACGCCGTGGAGACAGATGGACAAAAAGACTGGGAAATGGTGACGCCTTTCCTTCAAAACGATGCCGTCTTTTTCCCACTTTGTAAAAATACAGTGGTGAACGTCAGTATATTTCAAGTGACGCTTAATTCGTCCAACTAGTCGTGAGTGGATCATTTTGACTCGATGAGTTGTAATCGACTGAAAATAGGAATTAAGCATTCGATGATAGAAATGGAGAAAGTATTTATGTATAAAGTTGGGTAATATATAATATAATAGTATGTATCTATCCAAGTCAGTGGTAATATTAGAGTATTGACGCATGTAAATATATTTATTAATTATCGAGTATTTTAATGAGCAAGTTTCCAATGTGTAAATATATTTAATTATGTATGTATTTATGTAGGTGCCTAATACTGCATACATGCCTAAGCAAACTTGGAGTTACTTTCGTTTCGTATAGTTTTGAAGGATGTAATTTAAAATGCTTATTTAACTAAATGTCGGATTACGGGCAGTAACATCCGGGCTGAATACATAACGCAAAATTTCGTAATTATTCTATATAGTGAGCGACTTTTTCAATCAAAATCTTGTTTGCTTGGAAATCTTCTTTTTGTGAACGACATAAAAAATATCTTCGTGGAAGGGACAAATTCGAAAGAATATTGTCTTATTTCGTACCTTCGCATGAGCTATGTGTTCCGTTTTTCTTGCGATTAATTTGCATCATGGCGAACTCTCTGGAAAGACGGATGCATATCTATACATAAATATTTACATAGATTGGTGCGAAAGTGCACGTATTTAAGTATGCATTTATTTTGAAGGTTGGTTTTAATTAAGATGCAAATCACATGATAACCCTGCAAAGCGATTAAGCTATGTACATATGTACGAAATATCTGTACTACTAACAAATGACCATAAGCTTGCAAACATATTGACGCTTTCATTAGATCCATAGTTGAGACTTTTATATTTCTGCCGACCATATTTTCACCAGAATTTCGGTATTTTTATAAATAGTATCAAATTCTTATTGTCCGTTGGTGAATAATGTTTGCTGGAAAATGCTGGAAAACAGAAAGGATTGGTTGCAACCATGTTCCTTGCACCCTTCACTTTTGGGAACGTTCATAGAACACGCAATGAGGGTGGACAGGTCGGGCTGTTGCGTCTCGGGTCAGCTTGCACCACATGTCAAACACGGGGTGTAACTCGTTACAAAGGGGTAAAAAATGGTCATTTTTGCGTTGCGAATTTTATGATCGTTCCCTCACCATGACTGACTCATGTGCAGCATGGAAAGGAAAATGGCTGACTTGTGCTTATTTCAAGCCCTCCATTTTTCCAGCGAGCCCTTCACTTTACTCGCGTCCACATCACACCATCTTCTTCTTCACACCGTCTTAAAAAACGCTCAAAGTTTTTTAAAACAACAAGTTATTAAAAAAAAGTAACTTAATAAGTTTTAGTGCTCTCTTAAAAGTGGAATAAATATTCATTTAAAAAAATGGAGAACACTATGACCTTCGATCGCGCGGAAGACGCCCCCATCACCGTTGGAATAAATTGGGGAGTCCCGGTGGGGATGGAATTTGCCGAAGTCGACTGCTCCGGAGTGGACGATAGTCTGTCCGAAATTGACGTGAACGACCTCGTACCTGATCTAGGTATGTAGCACGTCGTCATTTTATATATCTATGCATGCATAAACTTTTAGATATCCAGTATTAAAATTAAGTCGAACCGTATTTTTTTGTATGAGACTCTATCAAAGTGGTATTACAAGTTATGCAAGTAATACCGTGAAATAATAGCGCGGTATTATATTTTAATCATATCGGTGGTAGCAAATTGTTGCGGTCGGGTATAATTTTAAAGCCAAGCTGTAACACTTTTAATACCGGAAATACCGGAAATTATTCCCTGTATTATAGTATATGCATATGTGTACTATATTTCTATTTCTACCAGTGTGACCCACATGCATTATGCACATACATACTTATATATATATATTAGTTTAATGATATATGATTATAATATCATATAGGCAAATTAGCTATTATAGCGCATATTTTATTGAATTAAACTCAGAACAAGTTGAGTAAAATTTGTGCTGACAGTGCTGACACACTGGTTGTCCATATCAAATTTATCTCAAGAAGGTTGCGCCTAAATCCTACAACTTTGGTAAATTTTAACTTGTACATTTTATGGAACGAGTCAGATAACTGATGAATGTACAATTTACTCAAGGTTGCGTGAAAATTTTAACTTGTAAATTGTATTCAATCAGTTAATGTATGAAATTTATTCATTTAACTTACAATTTATCCAGCGTTGTAGGCTTT